ACTGTGAGATTGGCACAGGACAGAGCGGAGTTTAGGGCTGTTGTACATAGGGTCGCTATGAGTCGCAGGCGACTCGACGGCACATAACAACAACAATGCTAATCAATAAGCCTGTTGAAATTCTGCTGGAATAAGGAGAGGTCTAACAGCTTCATCTGAAGACTGATCACTAAACTGTTTACTAGGAAGCATCCAAAATTAGCTTTAAGCAGAGAACCAGTCTCTTGAATGTTGCCCCGCCCTACATACCACTGGCTGATAGTCCTTGGGCCAGAGTTTAAGAAATCTTAAAAAATATGGAACACTTCCCAAATTTGCGTGGGTTCCTTGTGCAGGGGCCATGCTAATCTTCTCTATATCATTCCAATTTTAGTATACATGCTGCTGAAGAGAGCACTAGTGTAGAATTCTTAACAGTGAAACTTTGAAAAGAGTAAAGATGAATTGCATTAGGTTAAGTGCTGTCACGGACCTCTTCAGAGTACTGAGAAGCAACAGTGTTGGTGTAGAGACCAAGGTGTGCCATGGTCTTCACAGTTACTTGATGTGCTTCAGAGATCTGGATAATGACTAAGGATGACAGAAGAAGAATTGATGCCTTTGAGTTGTGGTGCTGGAGAAGAGTTTTGAACATACCGTGGACCATCAAGAAAACAAATAGTCTTGGAGAGAGTGAAACCAGGTTTCCCCTTGGAGGCTACAATTCTGAGTCTCTGTCTTACATACTTTGGGCATGTGGCCAGGAGGGACCAGTCCTTGGAGAAGGACATCATACTCGAAGGGTGGAGGGACAGCACAGGATGAGATGGATACAGTAACTGGGGTAATGGGGTTGGTGTGTCCCAGTCAGTGAGACTGGCTCAGGACCAGGCAGGTTTCACAGCTGTTGTGCATAGGGTTGCTATGAGTCACAGGCGACTCGACAGCACATAACAACAACATATTGCTATTTAGAATATTACTGCTATTTAGAATAATTTGGCATACTAAATCAAGGGAGAATGGGGAACATTATATTTGATGATTTTCAAGATGGATGCAAAAAAACAATAATGATGCTGATCTTTCATTTACTAATCTCTTTTCTTAGGTGTGTGGGGCAACGAGTTTAGTGTATTAAGATCACCAGGGTCTGTTGTTTTCCGAGAAGGAAACTGGCCTTTACCAGGAGACCGAATCCCAGATGTAGCTGCATTGTCCATGGGCTTCTCCGTGAAAGAAGTATGTGTATTTAATATATATTAAGCTGCTTTTAACAACCTTTATGTTGATTTCTACTAATAGCCCAAGAAAACATTGGTACAGATCACAAAATTGAGAAAAAAAACCCCCACCCTTTTTATAAGCTCAGTGGATTTTGGATGTTTCCATTTTGATTTTAGAAACCAAATAATTATAAATCATTATGTAACAGTTTATGCATAGTGTGAAACTTCTTTATATGCAAAGTGTGTGTGTCTTACTAATAATAGACTATATAGTGCAGGGTTGTTTGTTGTGTGTGTGTTTCCCCCCCCCCCCAGTACAAGTGATAGATTACCTATGAATGTAAAAAATGTGTATGTGTTTTGCCTGAAATTAGGAGAATAGTGTGGTGGGGAGCCATGGGAGGTGGCTTAGAATTTAGTTTCCTAGAATTAAGTCATAACCTGTTGGAGCAATTGGCTGTTTATAGTGATTGTAGCCAGAGGGCAGATGGCCAGAAGATGTAGGAGAAAAGAAATTCAGTTTTTTCTTTTCCTCTTGGTTTCCCTTCCCACTTTGTAAGTTTGGTGCTTTGGATATGTTCACTACATATCACATGTCACCAAAAGGCCCTTTCCTCACAGATCCTGTGGGCCTCTGAAATGCCATGCATACATGGCAGCTGGCTTGCTGCTGGAATTTGAGGAATCCCAAGTGAAAAGCTACTGCTTTGGGCAAGCAAAGTGAACAAGGGTGAATGTTTTGTTTGTTCTTTACACACTGAAATTTGACTATAAATGGCTGTTAAAATTATCTTTAGAAAGAATTACAAGTGAACCAATGTTACTTTAGAAAGAATTATAAGTGAACCAATGTTAAAAAGTCATCTTTAAGAATTACAAGTAAACCAATGTTAGTTATCTTTAGAAAGAATTACAAGTAAAACAATGTTACAGTTAGTTTTAGGAAAAGTAATTACAAGTAAACCCATGGTAGTTATCTTTAGAAAGAATTACAGTAAACTAATGTTCAAGTTATCTTTAGAAAAAAATTTACAAGTAAACCAGTTCTTTTCAGCAGGATTTTCTTTTTTTCTTCTATAAAGCTAAGTTTAAACTGAATGTTTTAATGACAGCCTTGTTCTATCACTGTGGAAGATTAAAAATTTTGTTAAGACAAAAATTTTTTTTTCCAAATCACCACAGTACATTTATTTGAGGGAGGAATAAAAAGGGTCAAATCTTAAATTTAATTGCAGGGAAAAAATGCTCATGGTTATATGAACATGTTACAGCTTGGGATTTGAAAAGTTCTTGCATTCCATTTACCTGCCTACTGTTTCTTTCTGTCGCTTGCACGCTCTCTCGCTCACGCATGCACGCGCTCTCTCTCCCCCCTTCTTCCTTCTTTCTCTCCTTCCCTCCCTCCCTCCCTCTCTCCCTCCCTTCCTCCCTCTCTCCCTCTCTCTCTCTCACACACACACACACATACACATTGAGATGACTTATTAGACTGTCCAGAAAATGGTAACATTTTTTTCCTTTGCACATTTCTTTTTTATTTCTTTTTAAATTAATTTTAATTAAAGTTTAAAGAGATTTAGGATTTCCATTCATTCATCGTTGCACTTTTCTACCTGCCCACCCCTCCCTCCAATTCACTCTTCTCTTTCCAAAGTAAAAGAAAAATTCCTTTATTGTTATACAATTCCTCCCCCCAAGTACACTCCACTGTGCTTCATTCATTCAGGACTCCTGTCATGACAATAATACCTAATCATATATCCCCCCGAAACTGTTCTCTCCCTCATCTGTTTCAATGCAGTATCCATTATTTATCCCCTCTTCTTTTGTCTTCCCTCAGCCCTGATGTCATTCCCATTTTACAGCAGTGGCCCTATGCAATAGTTGTTCTAAATTGTAACATTTTAAGAAAACTAAAAGGTAGAATCAGTAACCTTGCTTATAAGATTACAATGAATGAATGAATGCCTAAAATAAAGATTTTACTTTCCCAGTGAATTTTCGTTGCCAGTGTTATGAAAACCCTTAACTCTGCTTACTGGATGTTGTTGGGGAGATGGTCTCCTGAATTGAAAATTAAGCACTATTTGATGCTTTTCTATATTTAGGACCTCTCTTGGCCAGGACTTGCGGTGGGTAACCTCTTCCATCGTCCTCGAGCTACTGTGATGATGATGGTGAAGGGAGTGGATAAGCTGGATCTACCCCCAAGTAGTGTCATTTCCTATCCTTTGGAGAATGTGAGTACTTATTATAAAACCCAAAGGGATGCATTTTTAATCTTATTATCTATCACTGAATTATTTTCTATGCATACTTCTTTTTCTGTTTGAATGCACTAGCTCTTATATAAAGCAAACAAGATTTTCCTTTTAAACTACTTGATAGTTATAAATGTAGTTATAAATGTACTAAGACTTTTCTGTGACCTATGGTTGAGAGACCAGAGGTCTCAGATAAGAGATGTAGAAATTGCCCCACTCTCAGGAGGTCAGAGGCTTGGAAAAAAGAGAAACCATTTGAGGGTGTATCCTGCTGACGTTTTCTTGACATCTTTATATATATATATGACAGTGGAAGCTATTTTGCTAGCTCACTTATTTACAGACCTTTCAGTCCATGTGGCTGACTGAGCCAGTAGAGCAGGCCCTCCTACTCTAAGCACATTTTGCAACACTTCGACATGCACACCTTAAGCTTGAAAGTAAGAAAGGGATACACATAGGTCCTGGATATGAATAGAACATTCAGAAGCCACAGTGGTGAACAGGAACTGAAGGAGGAGTTGTGCTCCCATGTAAGACCAGGGACTCTAGCATGCCATGTTGTTCTTGAAAGGAGGAAAAATGAAGCCCAGCCTTCTGAAGCTATCAGTGAGCTGCTCATCATTGCCTTGGCTCTGGGGACCAAAGAGTCCCTTAGGTGAAACCAGAATTTTGTGCTGTGAAAACTGGCACACTTGCAAATTTACATGCTTGGAAGGATGGAAGACCTTGCATGAGATGGATTACCACAGTGGCCATGGCAATAGGGTCAGGTGTGTCGGAGATGGTGTGGTTGGCTCAGGATAGGGCCGGGGTCAGAGCCATTGTTCATAGGGTCGCTATGAAGCATGGTTGACTTAATGGCACCTAACAACAATAACTACCCTATAAGGACATCTCCACAGCCCAGGGCTCCTTTGGTGAGAAACTGCTGAGTCAAATTTACAAAGCACTTGAAGGGAAAAAATACCATGAGGTGGACAACAAGTGTAACAAAGAGAATTTATCCCCTTAGAACGACAGATAATAAACCAGCTACAAAGAGATTTTTAAAAATATGCCTTAAAATTGTGAAAGGATTAAAGGAATAGAAACCAAGAGGCATTTTTGGTAATGTGGTTCTTTCATTGGTATTGATCTTTAAATACTTTTACATTGTACTTTCTTTGATAGACAAATCATTTAGAAATGTATTTTTTTCCAATTATATGTGTCCTTTTAAAATATATCTTTTTAATTTCTGTTTTCAGTGTGCTCTAAGACTGGTTGATATGATACTATTTTTTTCAGACTTTTTTGTACCTATTGTGGATTCTCTGGTATTCTCTGCTTTTAGCTAAGATCCATCTGACATCAGCTACAATATCCCTA